ATCACTTTCTTGGAAGACCCAACAGTCCATCCGTGACAATAAAACATACAAAACTTCTTACGATATGTATCCTTTGCGAAGGTCCAGGAAAACGGTAACATCTACCACCATAGTTTGTTGCTGATCACAACAAACTCGCAACAGTCCTAAACAAACTTAAGTTATCTCACAGAGATAGCTCTCATACACCCGGCACAAGGGTATAAGCCGATTCCAACAAGTTTTGGTCAGCACCTTCGGGGATGCTCGATTCCGACAAGACAAGTTGTATAAGCCGAGGACCTATCACGAACTTTAAATCGGTACAGAATCAGGTTAAAATTGCACCAGCCAAAAAAACGCCGATTAGTCATCGCAAAGCCTTAAAACCGAAAGTAAACCTAAGTCTTACCCTAAACCCATCACACTGGTCTCTAACGTCTCAAGGCATGAAAGGAGATCCGAAAGGCATGTCTCTTTGTCCATATCTAAACGCTCACGAGATTCTAAACATCCTAACACAAGCAAAACGAAAAAGGCGATCTACAAAAAAGAGTTAGAATATGAGATGAAAACTCATATTCTTCCCTCCACATTGATAAGAATACAAACTTTCTCTTAAAACGCAAAAAGACAATTAAAAAAAAAAGGGCGCAAGGCGGCACAGACTCAAAAGCTACATACAGACAGTCCAAAAATATGATGGCCACACTTGGTCGAAGCAAACACCCTACGAGGTACGTTTCGAGGATGATACAAAACAACATCGACATCGTAATGTTCGATAATCTGTTCGAGTAACTAGACTTTAAAGGTCTCATTGGAAAACAGGTCGTACCAACATTAACTCTAAGATGAACTACGAAAGGCTTGATCCCTTCAAGAGGGTATGTAGGCAGCCTTCACTAGGCGCAGCCCCAATCCCACTGATTTCCACTCCAATGAGAGTGGGATGACCACTTTCAACGAAACTTTTCAACCATAAATTCTGCCTAACTTGCCTAAAATTGTCTAACCACTCGCTAGAACTTCACGCTAGAAGCTCAAGGTTTTAACGAGCTGAGCTGGGGGGCTAACTATTGGGGTCAAAATCGGTCACGACGAAATCAATGGCTAAAAGTCCCAGAAATAGCATACAAGAAAACTGTAGACTTTCTACGGAGATACGAAGTTACGGAAAACTCGTATCAAAGTTTGAAATAGTATAAAAAACCTCCTTGTTAATTAGGGTCAGAAAAGGTAATCTCAAAATCAACGTCTACGATTGCTTCTCCTTATATTCTCTGAAAGGATCTCGGGACGAGGAAACGAGAAATGATCAAAACCGAACAACCGACCAGCTCGCCAGACGGCGAGCTGTCCGTGATTGACAAGCTCGCCGGTTGGCAAGCGGAACTGACCTGTCCAGCTCACCAACAGGCGAGCTGGCCGTGCTTGACTAGCTCGCCTGTTGGCAAGCTGAATCGACCTGTCCAGCTCGCCAACATGCGAGCTGGTCGTGCTTGACCAGCTCGGCTGTTGGCGAACTGAACTGACCCGTACAGCTCGCAAACAGGCGAGCTGGCCGTGCTTGACCAGCTCACCTGTTGGCGAGCTGAACTGACCCATCTAGCTCGCCAACATGCGAGCTGGCCGTGCTTGACCAGATCACCTGTTGGTGATCTGAACTGACCCATCCAACTCGCTAATAGGCGAGCTGGCCGTGCTTGACCAGCTCGCCTGTTGGCGAGCTGAACTGACCCGTCCAGCTCGCCAACCGGCAAGTTGGCCATTCTTGACCAGTTCGCCGTCTTGTCGAGCTGAACCTAACCTTCCATGCCCCTCGAATCGATCGTACTCTGAACCGTGATTGGAAGGTCTCTCGTTTCATCTCGATCCGTCATATCATTGGAGTTTTAGATAAAAACCGTAAAAGGCTTGTTTTCTCGCAAAACCTCGAGTAAATCGTATAAAATGGCAAGGGTTAAACGAAACACCGGACATTGCCAAACTATACGTTGTGGGAACCGAAATTCACACTTGTCGATTTCCTTTAAATAAGGAAACTTAGGAAAACCCTAATTTTCCAGAGGAACCGGATCTCTGCGGAAGACAACGACAAGTAACCAAATAAATGCGGAAACATATGAAAAACGTAATAAAACAAATTTAAAGAAAAAGTAGATCTTATTTCGATTTCGCGTAAGAGCGTTGCGATCATTACAAAGGTTTACAAAGGCTTTGGCCGCAGGGCCGTCAGCGAATTATCAACATAAAAACCTTAAACCTAATCGAGTCGCAGCTCGATAACAAAAGACGGAAAAAGATAAGAAAAAGGATTTGAATGATTTCGGACTGAACCTTATGCCTACGTACCCCTTTCGAGGATCAAGTCGAACGTAGTTCAGTTGATTGAGCTGGACAAGAGATCGAACTGCCTGGGCGAGTTCGTCTAGTGACTGAGCGCTAGCATAGAAACCGAACTTGTCGAGAAAAAGCCTAAGTTTCTAAGTGCGGAAAGTTCTAAGTCTAGAAAAGTTGTAAAAAGTCTCAGATGAGAGCTCTGAATTTTCGTCCCCCTGCTTCTGCCCTATGGCTCTTGCTTATATACTCCCCTCCTAGGCGGTTTAGTCTTTCCATTTCGCCCAGATTCGAGTTTAATGGGAATCTTCCATTTATCTCGATCTTTCCTTTTTTCCCGCGGAAATCTTATATTTATCCTCAAACTTAACATTTATCTTCAAGTTTGACATTTATCTTCTTTTTTTGCGAGTAAATTGCCAAAACGTCGTCGTATCTTCGGGTTAGACTTCGTTTAAAGTCGCAGGTGGCTTTTATCGCGTTTTATGACTTTCCGAGCCGTTTTGCGATAAATCCGTTTTACGATTTTAGACGAGATCGTTTCCTGATACGATGCCGTTGTTTAGATAAGTTTCTCGAGTTAATCGTAACGCTAAGCAATGTTCGATGTTTCGATTAATCGTTGCCGTTTTCTACGATTTACTCGGGGTTTTATTAAAAACGCGTTTTGTACGATTTTTACGAAAAATCTCGAATAAATCGTATAGTTTAGGCAATATTCAGTGTTTCGTTTAACCGTTGCCATTTTATACGATTTCCCCCAAGTTCTTTTCAAGAAAACAAAGTTCTACGGTTTTTATCGTAAAACTCGAACGATAGGACGGATCGAGACGAAACGGGAGACATTTCGACCGCGATTCGGAATACGGTCGTGTCGAAGGACGTATGCCTTGAATCGAAGATGTGGAAGATCGAGGCTCGGGATTGTCGGCTCGACGTACGGCGAGCTAGTTCAGCTTGGCCAGGTCACCGTATGGCGAACTAGGCGATAAGAAATTGTGGGGCAAAGTCAGCGCCCCTTAGTTCGCCCACCGGCGATCTAGCCGGGACGAGGCTAGTTCGCCGTTGGGCGAACTAAGCCGGTCATATGTTCTAGGAAGATTTTGTAAATATTTAGGAATTTTATCTAATATTACTTTGTTAGTTCTTGAGATTCCTCAGTTATATGTTCACAATTTTTATATTTTTATATGATATTAACAATAAGTGTCTTTTGATTTATTTCACGGGATATGTTGAATATTCATTAGATACAATGGAATATTTTTTCTCATGCCACTGCCTTCATTGAAATATCCTATTGGGCCAGAACCGAATCAGTTAGTATCAATTAAGGAACACTCATACGAACAATTTATAGATGAAGATTTCAAAGAAAGAGTTAGAGTTAGATGAAGATCAAGATGCATGTATCAAATTCTGTTTTTGAAAACACTTGTTTATGTTCCTAAATTTCTTTTGTTATGAATGATTATCTGAGCAGGTACTACAATGTTATGATTGTTTAAACAATGAAGAAAAACTGGAAGTTTATAAACGTTTATGTTTAATTTGTGAAAAATGTTTGGATTTTTTTTTTGTCAAACTAACATTCATTCAAACTTCAAGTGTTTACACTCCAACAATAGAGTTAGATTCAAGCAATACAAGAGCTGATTTAGCCACAGAATCAGCTTTAACATTACTCAGTCTAGGAATATGGCGAAAAGAGATAAACTGAAACGAAGAACTGAAATGATAAATGTCAAACAAAATACCAAACAATGCTGGGGTAGAGCCTCCTTCCTTCGACAACTTCACCAAGGAGAGAGAATCAGACAGAATCATTTGGAATTTCAAATTAGCTCTAAAATGTTTAGGAACTATACAATAAATGAAATCAAAACCAGTGGTAAAATATCTTGAAATATCACTAAAACTATAAACTCTATGAATAATGTTTTTGCTTGTTAAGAAATAAGATGTTTAAAAGGCAAATTAACATTAAAAAGTGATGAATTCCCATACATGTGAACTACTCTTTTGAATCTTCTTCTTTGTTTTCTTATCTCCGTATCAACTACTCATATATTTAACCAAAGTTAATTCATTACTACTTCAACTATTGAGGGTGAATTGAATTCAAATCCAATCAGCTGGTGTTTGTTTCTATAAAATTAGTTAGATTCAATATATAGTTATATAAAAGAAAGAATCACCAAAAAAGAACAATGCAAACACACAAAGCAGCACGTAAAAAAAAAACAACACACATTATTATCTAAGTAACAAATCGAGAAAGAGTATTAGATGAACCAATTCTGATGATTTCCTCTTAACGTTTGTATAATCAAACAGAAGATAAATCTATAATTATGCAAGTAAACGCACTATGCACACATTAAGCTACACATAAACAACCCATATACTTCATTTTCAAAGAATCTAGTGGAACAAAATCAACAAAATAAGCAGTAGAGAATCATCATCATTAAGCGATTTAAACGATATGAACTGAACTCGTTCTCCAGCCTTCCTTTCTCTTGTTCAGAACGATGATCGACACTTTCACACCAAGCCGAATCCATCTTATACTTTTCCTCAAGTCTCCCGTTGATGCTATTAACCAGATCTGAACAACTGTGTCATCCTGAGCCATCCTCAATGATTCAAGCTATAGTATTTGGTTTCCTCCGCAATGTCTAGCGATGAAGAGTTGGCGCATGATATTCGTTCTTCCTTTGTAAAACACATCTACCTAATCGATGAAGCTTTACATCACATCTATAAGAAATTAAGTAATCACAAAACATCCAGAAACAAAAATGATTTAAAAATGATTTGATTCTGTATATTCTAGTATAATCCATCAACAATAACCTCTAACATAGATACAAATTACACACTATATCATAAATCAAAAATCTACATCACTAGATGAGAGAAACTCAAGTAATCTACACCAAAGATTTGAAAGTATGCAATCATGCGTTTACTAAAGCATACAGATCTATTTTAAGAACAATGACATTATATTATAGATTCATTTTAAGAACAAGGCATGATCTTATTGAACCATCATACATAGATACGAACCACGCAGGAATGATCTTATCAACAACCAGAAAATAATTAAATACAAAACACCTCTCCACATAGATACTAACCACACACACACGATAACCACACATGAGAGAAAAGAGATACCTTTGACGCCGGAAAAGCAACGGAGCTGAGGGAGAATCCGGAGAAGATGACAAAGTTGGAGATGAGGAAGTAAGAGATGATGATGACTCTGGAAGTACGATGACGAATCTGGAAATACGATGACGACAAAATGTTCAGAGTCACTTTCTCTTCACCGATTCAATATAGAGAAATTAGGGATCGAAAGAGGGGGTACAATGATAATTGTTCCTAATTAATGAAACATAAATATGTGATTAAGTGATTCGTTTGCTAGATTAGGAGTAAAAACTTACTTTAGTGGCATTTGAGGCCTCTTCTCAACTTAGTATATTAACATTATTTAATTTCTCATAAACAATTTTTTTACGGTTAGCTTTTAATGTATGTGTTCTCATTAAAGATATACGTAAAATTACATGTCAAATAAATCTAAACATAATTTTCAAGTTTAGGTTTCCTGCTGTCTTTGTAAGACTTTGTAGTGCTTGATTGTCTTTTCAAAATATCAGTGCTTTCATCCGTCTTAAACCAATCATCAACTATCTGTATTGAAAAACTCAAAATCTGTCAAGTGCAAAAAGAAGTGGTAATGCATTGTTTTGTACTTGTCTTTCGATCATGGTCTTATCTAATGCACTTGGATTTCGACCGTGATTTGATTGGACCAACTATGTACTTTGGTCTCATGGGTGATGGTCAGCCTATTGGTCTCTACGACGATATGTGGGCTGGTTGGTGCATCAATCACTTATCCTTTCCCTTGTAATGTTTATGTAGCTTATACTTTGTACTCATGACTTTATGGGATGAATCTAGGTGATCTGTGACCACTTGCACTTGGGAGTGAAGACAGGTTTGCCATACATTTACTACAGCGAAGCAAGCCACTCATTTTCACCTGAAGAAAGAATGCAAGGGAATCTTCTGGCAGGAAGATATCATTCCTTTCTTCCAGAACATAAAGCTATCGAAAACAAAAAAAAACTGTTCAACAATGTTACATTAAGCTCTCAAAGATGGTGAAGGAGAAGCTCCGCTCCTTAGACCCATACTTTGATAAGCTTGCAGACGACATGGTCACATGGACTGAAGCTTGGGATGAGCTTAACCCACCAGCTGCTGCTGCAGCTAATGGCAAAGCTTGAGCTGACCACTACAATTTTCGTTATTTTAGCTCAAATCATCATTTACTTTTCCAATTTCAGCTTTTACGAAACTCACTTTTGAGTACTTGTCATTTGCATGATCACCATTACTTTTTCATTGTCGACAAGGACCAAAACAGTAGTGGATCACTTTGTTTCATTAATAAAAGACTTCCTCATTAGTATATGTTTTAATAATCATCGCTTATCTAAACACTTGCATGTTTTCCATAGCATATGACTGTAAAAAAAAAAACAGAAGTCTACAATCGAAATTTTGACATCCATCTCGTTCCCAAGGAGAATAAACAGACGGCTGAATTCTAATAATCTACGTAAATCTATCTAAATTCTTATGAAATCCACTTATTTTGATTTTAAAATCAATGGATTTACCAAAGATTTCCAAATCTAGAAAATTTTCTAAATCAAACAAAATGCCACAACCAATAACCCCTATTAATATTTGACTAATGGATTGTGCTTTATGCGGGGATCCGAGTGACAAATGGGAGTTACTACATAAAGTGTGTGTGGTGTATTTGGTCCACTAAGAACATGCTCATTAGAAAATTTTAAGTGGGATTCACACGTTTTTCAAGGAAAAAGTGGTGAACCCGGATCGTTTGAGTTCGCCGTGGTAAATCCGGATCGTCAATGATTCGCCACGTGGCGGGCGATGATTCACCAAAAAAAATTTTCTGAAAAAAAAAAAAATTTTAAACTAACCTATACTTATGGGCATGCTCTAAAACCTCCTCCCTCACTCGGGACTACTCGATTACATCTGGCAAACCAAAGAGATGACGACAAGACTTTCAGACGACCTTGTCCCTCTTGTCAAGTTTCCGGCGCGCCACCGTCGCGAACCCCAGCTTTATATCGTGGAGCCCACTTCGTCTCGCATGAAAGGCAGAATCGTCGATACGGTAACTGAAAAATCTGATCTTGCAATCGTAGAATCTTTGGAGTTATCCTCTGACGAAAAATCTCATCTTTCCTCTTTTTTTTTTCTTTTTTTTTTTGGGTAAGTGCTTTAACGAGCCAGGGGCTGGTAGAAACATTTCTGATAGACACCATCTATTATCATATCTTACGGTCATTTACATTGGATTTTGTAAAACTCTATCAATTTCATCTCTAGTATCTGTTCAAAGACGCTTGGTTGGAGATGAGATGACAGACGCACTTGTCTCGGAGTACAAAGTTTTATGAAAAAAAATGCAGAACCGAACAACCTATTATATATGATACTGATATTGCTCAAGCATATGCTTCTTGTCTAAATCAGTGTGTTTTGTGTGGATTTTTGCAGGATCATCGCTCTGCTTCCAGGGATTTCGTTTTGCCTAGAGGGTGGACCGTTGAGGAGAAGCAGAGGAGAAACTCTTCTCATATCGATAAGGTGCTGCTTATGATAGAAGAATCAATTTTGTTAATTAGTGTAAGAATGATTGATGAGGATGGTGTCTAGAGTTGGGAATGTGTCTCTTGCTAATTTAGACTGTTGAATGACATGTTAACCATTTGTACTGGTTCCTTTTCAGTATTATACGGAGCAGAAAACGGGAAAGCGGTTCCGTTCACTTGTTTCTGCTAAGAGGTACTTGAACAATACCGGGAACGTTACAGCTGCTTCGGTTTCTAAGGTGCAGCACTCCGAGCAGGTTCCGGTAAGTTTCTAAGCTTTTTTACATCATTTTAGAGCTACAGAAGATTAACAGATTGTACCGGTGTGGCCTTGGTTTTTTCAGGGTTTGATGATTTGGAATGGTACTGGATTTGACACCGTGGTTACTTATCCAAAGCCACCAGAGAAAGTAAAATGGGTATTTACCGGTCCAGAAGGATACATGTTTAGTGCCCATGTTAGCGGTTCCGACGTCTCTAGCTCTGTCAAACGTACTTGGTCTGAGACTTTTGTCTCATTGATCCAAGACTGCTATTAACCATCTGAATCCTAAGTTTTGTTACCTGTTTTGGTATAATGTACAAGATCTCCCGGTCGGCAGTCTCTCCAAGTTGTCATGCATCAGCAGTGATCTGATTGATACCTTTAGAGAGTACCTCACAATTATATTTCAATTCTGTTTTTAATTTTTTTAAATAAAAACATCTTAATCAATAGAAAAAAAAACACGCAAAGAAAGAGATTTTCACTTGTCAGCAAGACTAGCTTTGCGGTTCACAAAATTTTCCACTCTCTTTTCTATTTTTCTTGTTTTCTTATTTCTTTTAGTTTTCAGAATTTGATTGAGAGACTGCCCACTAATGGTGACCATACGGTTTAGTTTATAACTGACCTTGTTAACCGGTTTCGTCAGATTTTCTGTTTCCATATATAGTCGGTAGGAACCGGATTTTGGTATATGTTCCTCTCTTTTTTTCGTAAAATTTGGTATATGTTCTTGATCTTTCAATGGTTAAATTCTCCAAATCTTGAAATGTGTATTTAAAATGGATTTATATGTTCTTTATGCTACTTCTTATATCTTTTAATCCATAGATATAATCACCAATCTTATATATAATAGTATAGTTTCTAGGCTTGTTAATATGCCACGTCAACAGTTTTGTGGATCCCGCATTTATTTTAAAAGTCTATAAGCTTGCATAGACGTTTATGAACAACGAATTACAGTTTGGTCGAGTCGTCTAAAGTGTAATGTCTGATCTGCAAGAGTGTGGATTTGAATCCGACAGGTTACATATTTTATCTTTATTAGACAAGTCTTTTTTTTTTATTGAAATCAGTCTTCAAGGGATCCACGTTAGCAGCTATATAGGTCTAACCTATTTTTTTATTTTGTTTTTCTATCTCAAGTGGATTTCTATTTGATTTATGTTCTATTCTTTGATGGGCTTCGCAATATCCGCATATGCATTTTATTAAAAACTATGGGTCACTCTGCGTTTAATCATCACCAGTGGCGGAGCCAGGAATTATTTCTACTGGGGTCAGAAAAAAAAACTAAAAATGTATAAATAGCCAAAAAACTACAAATGTATCATATACAAATTACAAATGTACTCTACGATCACTCATAGCTTGAAATCGTCTTATAACGGTTTCATTAGCTACATCTTCAAATATTTTTTTCTCAATAAAACAAATAAGACAATCACTTAGAAACTGATCACCGATGCGATTTCGTAATACTGTCTTGACGATCTTCATTCCTGAAAAACATCTCTCAACGGTTGCAGTAGCAACAGGCAAAGTCAAAGATAACTTCAAAAGCCTATACACCAAAGGTTGAGAAAGATGTTTCTTGGTTTCTACCATTACCCGCGATAAATCTCCAAGATGTTTCACATCAGCAAACCTTTCATCTTCTAGTACATTATCAATATAAATGTCAAGTTGATGTTTAAGTGATGTGCACTCCACAGCACTAAAATCCTCAGGATAGAATTTAGCCAGTCTCAATAACTTTTCTTTATCAAACTCACGGAATGAATCAATAGGACTTAAAGCTGATGTGCAAACGAGTAACTCAGAGTTTACCTCGTTAAAGCGACCATTAAACTCTTGAAGTTCCATATCCAATACTGTATAAAAACAATTGACTTGATAATGATTCAAGTTGGTAATGTTGGTATTTTCCGTGGCCTCCTTGGATCGATGAAATCGTCCTCCATGTTGAGAAGATCAGTGTCATGTTTCTCACAAAAAGATGAAACATCATTCACAAAAGAATTCCAGCCATCATCTCTAAACTTTTGTAGCTGTCGCTTTGTAGATTCTACTAATGAAACAGCATTTACGATGTCTTGCTCTTTTAGTTGCAAGGCCAGTGACAAATTTTCTGTAAGTCCCAAAATGTGCACCATCAAGTGTAGATAGAATACACAATCAAAAGTATGGATATATTTGAGAATACCATTTGCTTGACTTCGCTGGTTAGGATCAGCACCTTCATTCTCGATGTACACAAGTATCTCATCCACAGAAGAAAACATCCCAACTAACCGCAACAATGTTTTATAATGAGAACCTCAACGTGTAGTTCCTGGTCTTGGAAGTGTAGACTCCTGATTCAGTCATTTTCCAGTCTTGATTTCACCACTACTGATTCCCTTTTCAATAATATCCCTCTGAATTTCTCGCATCTTATCTTTCCTTTTACAAGAAGCTGCAACCACATTCACTAACAAAGAAATCTTATCAAAGAAATCTCTAACTTCAAAATGTTTCTTTGCGACTGCAACAACTACCAATTGTAGTTGGTGAGCAAAACAGTGTACATAGTATGCCGAACTATTTTCTTTTGAAATCAGTGCTCTAAGACCATTAAATTCACCTCTCATATTTCCTGCTCCATCATAGCCTTGTCCTCTCACTTTTTTCAGACTCAGACTATATCTAGCAAGCAATGAATCGATTCCAGATTTCAAAGATAAAGAACATGTATCCTTCACATGGATAAGACCAACAAATCTCTCCTTTACCATACCATGTTTATCGACAAAACGAAAAACTATAGCCATTTGCTCTTTCACAGAACAATCAGCTGATTCATCCACCAATAAAGCAAACACATCATCGTCCATCTCTTGAACAATGGATTTAATTACTTCTTCTGAAAAGCAATTGACAATATCTTTTTGAATAGGATGAGATACAATTTGATTGTTTCCAGGAGCATTCTTCAGCACAACTTTGCTTACAGCTTCATTTTGTGCAGCAGTATATTTTACTAACTCCAAAAAATTTCCTTTGCTGCTAGAATCTGCAGTCTCATCATGAGCACGAAACGGTAATCTTTGTTTCAGTAAGTATCTAGCAGCATCGATTGAAGCAGTTAGTCGAATACGATACTCTTTTTTTGCAGCATCGGTTTGCTTTTGAAAAGCATGCTTGATTGACTGGCCTTGTCTCATCAAATCTTCACACTTCTTCTTGGCTATGTTGTGAAAGCTATTTATCGCACCTACATGTCCAGCCAATCTGTCAGACTTGTTCCAACCATCAAATCCCTCCGTGACAAATCCAACACTTCCACTTTTTTTCTCGTTGCTGAATAAATAACAAAAGAAACAATATGCTTTTTCTTTCTTCACACTGTATTCTAACCAATCACCATACTGATCAAACCAAGAAGGATTAAACCGTCTCAATGCACCTGAGATAACTTTTTGCTTAAAGCTATGACCACGAGGTTGACAAGGTCTTCTAGTCAAGTACTTGTGTCTCACTTCGTCTATTTGATTATTGTCATACTCATGAATCCCTTTTCTTTCTCCTGGATCATGTGGCATATCGTCTAGAGAAATATCATCAGTTGATGGAGATTTTCGCTTTAGATTTAGAAATCGTTCCATTTATCTGTTAAATAAGATAAATTAGTCATTTTATAAATATAAAACTAACTTTTAAAAATATTCAAAATCATGAACATAAACTAATAATATAACAAGACACAGAATACAACAAAAAAATATATTAAAAACAAACCTGTAGAAGAAGACGCAGCCGCCGTGCCGTTGTCTTGCGAGAAGAAGAGGACAGGTTTTTTTTCTTTTTTAGTTTGTTTACTTTTTAATGTTTCTATATTTTTAACTATTTGGGCTTAACATCATTTGGGCTTAACATCATTTGGGCTTAACTTAATATATTACCGAATTGTAAAATAAACAAAACATCTTCTATTTTTTGGTAACTATAGAAAAGAAAAATAAAATTAAAACTAATATAAATTCAAAGTTTTTTTTTTAAAAACATATTATTTGTATAATTAAATTTTGCCTTTCATATTTTGTAATTATTTTTGTGGGGTCAAATTTATTTTTTAAATGGGGTCAATACAAATTTTCTCTAAAAAAAAAAAAATTAAAAGTAGTGGGGTCAACTGACCCCCCCACCTCATTGCTTGCCTCCGCCCCTGATCATCACCTTCTAAAGACTTCCATCTTATCCTCTCTTTCAAAACTCAAGCTCGCCGTCTCCATTTTTCATACACTCATCTCTTCGCCTCCTTTTCGTTATCTCTTTACCTTTCCTATGGTTCAATGTATTTGTTTTAATTCTGCCATAATTGTAATTCACATTGGATCCAGATTTCATGTCGACGTCTCCATTTATTTCCTCACAAATCTATAAATATGAACGATGGATATAGTGCTGGACAACAACTTGTACTTTGTTCTACTCAGAATAATAGTGATGTGGTAAGTGTATCTATTATCTATAAGCAGTGATCCTTTCTACCATAAACGTTTCTTATCCCTTTTACTCACATGGACTCTGTTGTTGCAGTGCGGACAAATGAATCTTTGAAGAGCGAACTTGAGAGATTACAGCTTGCAATTGAGTAAGAAACTTGTGTTTGATCTTGTGTTAAAGCTTCGGTCTTTCATTTTTTGGTTCATTGTTTTTAGAAGAGTCAAGGGTACGGAGCTTGACCTTATGGGTTTTTTGAATCTTATTTCGTTTGAAAACAAGTTGAATGATAGCTTGCATAGCGTCAAGGATCGGCAGGGGCGAAGGCGGTGGTGGCGCAAAGTGACACGAAGATCTTTTTTAGTAACTCGGTGGTGACAGGAGAGATTTATCCGCTGGATTCAGAGGTTAGGGTTTGTGATGAGTCTAGGACGGGGGATGTCGCGACAGTGGAGTTGAGGGAAGGGGATCGTGTTTTGGTTAATCATACGACGGAGAAAGAGTATAAGCTTAAGACTACTGGTGACACTAAGCTTGTGATTGATGCATGGGATTTTTGCTTATGCTAGGAAAGCTGGGATGAGTTTGTATGCAGCTGCTTGATTTTGATGTCATGTATGAGTGATGGAACTTAAGTCTTTAAGATCTTTCAATGTTTTTTTGTTGATATTATGTTGTGAATGATAGACAAAGATTGTTACTCTTTCGGAATAGTATTAGTTGTAGAATAATCTTGGAAGTTTGAGATTGATGTAAATCATAATTTTTTTTTCTTCCTTTTTCTTTATGAGATAGTAACGTGGTAAAGATTTAATCTTTGTTGGATAAACAAATCTCTCATGCTCCATCTTTCGTTATGCTCTCTGTTATGTAGTGAAAATTGGTATATGAGAGATGGAGATTGCTTATTTCTTTTATAGTGGATTTGAAATTTGTAGAATAATTTTGGAAGCCAAATAATTGGTGTTGTGTCAGTACTTATCTACTGGACGCCATCGATCAACTTCAGCAAACATATCCATATGTTTTCAAACAATTAATTTATAACATTTTCCAAAACTATGTAATTATCAAAAGTACAATGGTCTCAGTAAGCTTTGACATTCAAAGTCGTTAGTTGTTATAGTTGAAAAAAAAGAGGAACATTATAACCAAAATAGATGAATAAGTCTGCAAATGCTAGCGTTGGTTCTCAATCAACTTATATATATAGAGATTTTAACTCTAAATCATTTAAGTTTACTCAAAGTTAATTTTAAAAAAAATATAAATAGTATTTGTCATTTTGTATTAAAAACAAATTAATTGTAGATACATATTTGATTTCATATCTTCAAAGTTTGTTTTGATGTATGATAAATAATTTTGGCGAACAAATATTGTTAATCTAAAGTTATAATAAAAATTTGTTTTAACATGTTAAATATGTACAGTCATTTATTTTAAATAAAATAAAACTAATAAATAATAAAATATATATTTTTAATAAAAATATACAATACGCTTCATCAAATCTATAATAGACAGGGGCTTTGAAGACTTATACATGTTGTATACATGTTTTATATAAGTAAGAACCTATCATTATATTGTTTTTTTTTATTCACAGTAGAATTATATTTGTATTTTGAACACTTAATATAATTTTTGATGAGATTTAGTAATATTATATCTAAAATCACATTTAAATTTTATGTAATATTATATAGATCAAATAATATAATAAAATTAATATAAATACAAAATTTGAAAATACAATAATTAATGTTGTTACAGTAAAATCAAATATTTTTCTTATCTTAGAATAAATATATCTTAAACTATATCTTACTTTCAAAGAATAATATATCTTAAAATATATCTTAAACTATATCTAAGAATAAAAAGTTGATCTTGACTAGAAGTAGATTGAAACTAAGAAACTTATGAATGATCTTGACTAGAAGTTGATCTTACTTAAGTCTATTTCTCCAAATTTTCGGGAACACTACAAGAAAACTAAGCCTTTATTAGGAAACTTTACTAGGAATATATTTCCTCGTAAAAATACTACGAGTTTACGAGGAAACCACTTTTCCTCGTAAAGTTCTCGTAAACTTACGAGAAAACAGTTTCCTCGTAAACTCGAAGTAAACTTACGAGGCCCTTACGAGGAAAAAGTTATTTTCCTCGTAAACTCATAGTAATGCTTTTCCTCGTAAAGTCCTAGTAATTGTTTACTACGAAATTAGGAGGAAAATATTTGTTACTACGAAATTAAGAGGAAACTGATAGAAAATATCGAATTTAAATCAAAAGTGTGTTTTGTACCTACTTTTCCTAGCAATTTCCTAGTAAATTCTCAGATTCGAAAATTTCTATAAATACCACCATATGTGATTCATTTGAAACACACCAAAAAAAAAATCAGCTATAAGCTTGATCAAACAAAAAAAAAAATGTCCGGTCCGGGAAATATTTTCGAGTTGCGGAAGTGGATGTATTCACACAGAGATAATAACGGGAGGGTGACGAAATAATTTCTTGAAGGGTTGGAGACGTTTATGCATCAAGCAGATTCTACACCACTCACGCAGGAAAGTGGTAAGATGTTCTGTCCTTGTCGGAAATGTTGCAATACCAAATTAGGCCCTCGTGAAAATGTTTGGAAGCATTTAGTAAATAGAGGTTTCATGCCATATTATTATATTTGGTATCAACATGGAGAAGATGCTAGNAGATTCTACACCACTCACGCAGGAAAGTGGTAAGATGTTCTGTCCTTGTCGGAAATGTTGCAATACCAAATTAGGCCCTCGTGAAAATGTTTGGAAGCATTTAGTAAATAGAGGTTTCATGCCATATTATTATATTTGGTATCAACATGGAGAAGATGCTAGTTGTAGGAATGAAGGTAGCAGTAGTAATAGCAATTTTTAGATTGAACCGGTTGAGCATTTGCGTAATGAAGGTAGCAGTAGTAATAGCTATCATCACCAAGAGGAATAAATGGTAGATTGTGATAGGGTTCATGATATGGTTGGTGATGCCTTTGTAACTCATGATGATGATGAAGTTGAAGAACCTAACTTAGATGCCAAAAAGTTTTATGAAATGTTAGATGCTGCGAATGAGCCAATTTACAGTGGTTGTAGGGAAGGTCTGTCTAAAATGTCGTTGGCTGCTAGAATGATGAGTATTAAAACCGATCACAATCTACCTGAAAATTGTATGGATGCATGGGCAGACTTGTTTAAAGAGAATTTGCCAGAAGAAAATGTGTCTGCTGAATCTTATTATCAGATTCAGAAATCGGTATATAGTCTAGGGTTGCCCTCGGAGATGATAGACGTTTGTATCGACAACTGCATGATTTACTGGGGAGATGATGAGAAGTTAGAAGAATGTCGATTTTGTAAGAAGCCACGATTCAAACCGCAAGGTCGAGGGCGTAATAGGGTACCGTACCAAAGAATGTGGTACCTACCAATCACAGACAGATTGAAAAGATTGTACCAATCTGAGGAGACTGCTGGAGGGATGAGATGGCACGCCGAGCATACTCAGACGGATGGAGAGATGACTCATCCATCAGATGCAGGAGCCTGGAAACGTTTTAACAATGTACATCCACATTTCGCTAGCAATAGCCGGAATGTGTATCTTGGATTATGCACTGATGGATTTAGTCCATTTGGAATGTCTGGGAGACAATATTCATTGTGGCCGGTCTTTCTTACACCGTATAACTTGCCACCGGAGATGTGCATGCGACGAGAGTTTCTATTCATGAGCATATTAATACCTGGTCCANTAGCAATAGCCGGAATGTGTATCTTGGATTATGCACTGATGGATTTAGTCCATTTGGAATGTCTGGGAGACAATATTCATTGTGGCCGGTCTTTCTTACACCGTATAACTTGCCACCGGAGATGTGCATGCGACGAGAGTTTCTATTCATGAGCATATTAATACCTGGTCCAAAACATCCAAAAAGATCTCTCGACGTTGTTCTACAACCACTGATAAAAGAGTTGCAAGATTTGTGGTCAACAGGGGTGAGGACATATGATTGTTCAACGAAAACAAACTTTACGATGCGAGCGATGCTTTTGTGGACCATAAGTGACTTTCTTGCATATGGTATGTTGTCTGGGTGGACTACACATGGGAGATTAGCTTGTCCATATTGTAATGGAATGACAGATGCGTTTCAGTTGAAGTATGGTAGGAAGACTAGTTGGTTCGATTGTCACCGTCGATTTCTTCCCATTCACCACCCATACCGAAGAAACAAGAAATTGTTCAGGCACAAAAGGGTTGTTAGAGACACTCCTCCTCCATATTTAACCGGAGAACAAATCGAATCGCAAATCGATTACTACTGTGCTCTAGAAACAGCTCCTCGTGGTGGGAATTGGCATGTTCCCAGTAATATGCCTGATTCTTATGGTGTTCAGCACAATTGGCACAAAAAGAGTATATTTTGGGAATTGCCATATTGGAAAGATCTTCTTTTGAGCCACAACCTCGATGTGATGCATATAGAGAAGAACTTATTTGAGAACATCATGAACACAATATTGAATGTCCCAGGGAAGACGAAGACAACGTAAAATCAAGGTTGGACTTACCCGATATCTGCTCAAGGAGTGAGCTACATATAAAAAGCAATGGGCAAGTTCCAGTTCCAATATTCAGACTGTCATCACAAAAAAAGTCTGCGTTGTTCAACTGGGTGGCTTCAGAAGTGAAGTTCCCTAATGGGTATGTTTCAAATCTCTCAAGATGTGTTGAGAAAGGGCAAAAGTTCTCCGGGATGAAGAGCCATGATTGTCATGTCTTTATGCAGCGACTACTTCCCTTTGCGTTTGCGGAGCTACTGCCGGCAAAAGTACATGAAGCACTTTCAGGTAATTAATTAATATAATACGAAAACATGATTAATATATTTCTATATATATATATACTAATGTGGATAATTTTTGTATATATATAAGGAATTGGAGCATTTTTTAGAGATCTGAGCACCCGCACTCTTAAAGTGGAAGTTGTCCAACAACTTCATGGAAACATTCCCGTCTTAATCTGCAACTTGGAGAAAATATTCCCACCAACTTTTTTCCGACGTCATGGAACACCTAGTTGTCCACCTTCCGTATGAGGCATTACTTCGTGGACCCGTGCATTATGGATGGATGTATCAGTATGAAAGGGCCATGAAAACTTTGAAAAAAAAAGCCAAAAACCTAGCAAGAGCTGAAGGTTCTATTGTTGCGGGAAGTTTGACGGTAGAAACATCACATTTCACTTCGTACTACTTTGCACCGAAAGTACGTACAAGGAAACGAGCTCCAAGAAGATATGATGATGGTGGTGTCGTGCCGACATATATGGAAGACGATGTTCCAGACATCTTTTGTCAAATTGGGCGATTGGGTGGGAAATTGAAAGAGGTTTGGTGGTCGAGTGATGAAGACGTCCATAGTGCACACCTTTATGTTCTTCTTAGTTGCGAGCATCCATTGATTGCTTATTTTGAAAGGTAAATATATAAACATACACACTTATATATATATGTAGTTTTCAATATTAAATATATAACATAACATATATGATTTTACAGTCAATTTGAGACTCAAGTCGAGGAAGCAATACCTGGTATATCGACAACTGAGTTAGAGAAAAGGAAAGATCAACACTTTATCAAGTGGTTGAGGAAACAGGTATTTATTTATTACTTAAATTGTATGCATACATTACCACAAAGTAAGTCTAATGTATTTTATTTTTTGTTGCAGGTTGATTATGACGATCCTAAGTATCTCGCATGGTTTCGTGAATTACTTCAAGGTCCAGTTGCAAAGGTCACTACATCGTCGAAGTATTTCACCCGAGGCTATACTTTTCATACCTACGACTATGGTAGACACCGGGCGACAAGTAATTATGGAATATGTGTGAAAGGCGAAACAGATTTCTACGGGATCTTGCAGGAGATTTATGAAGTTCAATTCTCGGGAATGGGTTTGAAATGCGTTATCTTCAAGTGTGAGTG